CTCTGTTTTCCTTCTCTTCTCCGGTGCTGCTTCTCAAAAATCTGTAGAGGGGGATGACGTAGCAGCCTTTGTTTTTCTTCTCTTCTTTGCCAGCCTTGCTTGGGAAATCTGCACAGTAGCATACAAGAGGTTTTTCCTTCTCTTCTTCAGTGCCCCTTCCCAAAAGTCTGCGGAGGGGGATGATGCAGCAGCCTTTGTTTTTCTTCTCTGCCAGCCTTGCTTGGGAAATCTGCATAGCAGCACGCGAGAAGCTGCAGTTCGGCTTTTCTCTTCATTTGGACTATTTTTGTTCATTCTTAATTTGATTTTTACAATGATTCTTTGTTGGTTCTTACTAAATTTGCTTACAGGTAGCCATCACTCAAGATGTTTAATGCATACGACAAAGACAAAGAGTAATCTGAGTTTTTTTTGTCAATTTCTACATTTTATTTGCTCTAATTTTAGTTCATTTATTTACATGCTTTGCTATATGCTACCCAAAAGTAAACAATGTTTCTTTATTTTTAGTGGAATCAACGTTTTCTTGTTCATATATTTGTGAAATTTACTTATTTTTCTCTCATGTGTCATGTGTGCATCATGTCCTTGTGGTTTCAAAGGTATGAAAAGCATCGGATTGCCCTGTTGACTCTTTTTTTTTTTTTTTTTAAGGCCAGGCTTGTGAGTATTGGGTGCTCTAGAACTCTGACTTTGGCATGGAGATTGGTTTGTTTACCCAGCACTTTTTCTACTTTGTTCCTTTTACTTTAGAAGATTTTGTTCAGAATTATTATGGCTATAATTTTGTTCGACTTACCCTGACTACTTGGAGAAAATGCTTTTGATGTTTCTTTGTCTCATTTTATTGTCATGTGGATGTTTGTAGGATTGCTGAATGGATTGATCTTACCATCTTGCAAACTGCTTAGAGTGTGTTGACTAGGCCATCTTAAAGTAGATTATTTCTTTTTCAGGTTATTCTATTACCTTTGTTATCGTATTATTTTTTTGTTAGACTTCCCTTTAGTTCCTTTCATTTAAAGTAGATTTAGATTGTGTTGGTTTATTTAACTTTGTTTCTCTTTTCAAATATTGTGATATGTTTATGAATTTTGCGCTTAATATCACCATTGTTTGTGATTGTTATGGACAAATTAAATAAAACTAATTCACTTATTACATTTTATGCAATGATTGTTTTGAGCTTTTGTGCTAAAGCGCACTACAACTCAATACATCTTTTTGGGTAAATATCTGCTCTTTGATTTTGAAAGTTTTTCACGTAGTGTTTGTTACAATTTGTTAATGATGTTATAAGCATATAAGTATTGTAATTTGTTAATGGTGTTATAAGCATATAAGTATTGTTTTATACTCTCATCAATAGTATTATTGTTTTGGTTATGTAGTTATGGGCAGATTTCTCTTCTCGTCAAATTTGGAGTGGCAATTTTCAATTAAAGTTCTGAAGGTTGCCAAGAAGAAGATTACTAGAGATTTTCCTTTTATGATTATCATATTAGAAGTGAACTAAATGTAGTAATAGCTAAAAATGTTATATAAGTTAGAAAAGTTATTATGCTAAAATTATTTAATGTTTAGATTTATTGATATATAGTAGAGTTTTGACTAGTTTACATGAATGTATATATAATATCGATGTTACATGATGATCATTGTGTTATAAAATTATTGTATTTTTTTTTTTTCACATTGTTGTATATTGATTGAAATTGTTTGTTTAAAGCTTAATCTCCTATTATCAACCATATTTATAAATAAAAATATAAATTTCTGGTATAATTAATTTTATTCAGAAATGCATTTATTTTATTATTATTATTATTATTATTATTTTTTGCCACAAGCTGATGTTTGTGGCTAAATATTAAAACAGTTTGCCATGGGCTTAGTTCACGCGGCTAGAGAATAAAACTTTTTGCTGCGAGAATATTAGTTTTGTGGCAAAAGGTTTAAAATATTTTGCTACGTACTTCTTGTATTTGTGGCAAGAAATATTATTCTTAGCTATGGGACAACTATGGCTAACTTTTAGGCACGTCATTTCTAGCTATGATAAGTTACGGAAAATATTTTTATGACTAAACCATTTACTTACATGATTTTCATTGTTTAACTATAAAATCTCTTGAAGCTGTAGTTGTAGATGTAAAATGTAACAGTGATTGAGATTCCAAAAAAATAATGTATATTGATAATTAAAATATTAAAAAATA